ACTTTTCCATCCTAATTCATTAAATCTTAATCTCTCAATTTTCATTTGGGTTACTACAATTAAGGGAAGGATAATGGAATTTGAAAATATTTAAGTGGACAATATCCTTGAATTATAAATTTTCTTTGATTTCAAGTTAAAAATTAATTTTACCATAATCTCATCTTTTGTAACTCTCGTTGTCATTTCTTTAATTTTAAAATACAAACAAAAACCAAATAAAGTGTATGTTAATGGTGAACCTATAGCTAATATTGTATCATGTATTGAAATTTCAAGTATATCCCATGTGATCTAAAATAATGTAAAGAAACTAATTAATATTTACATAAAAACTGCTATACTAAGGATAAATATGTCTCGGAGTTTTATTAGATACCTTAAACGGAAGAGTACACAGAAATACCCTTACACGATTTTTCTTTCTAGTTGCTAATTTCGAAAGCCAGCGAACGAGCTCAGAAAAGCTGATTTTTGGGATGAAAAATTCTATTTTATAAATTTTCAACTCAGCTCAATGAACTGAGTCGTATTTGACAAGCTGAGCCGCCCTACATCGGCCTTTCATGGAAGAATTCAAATGCGCTGTCGATGAACAAGCAATTTCGGATAAACGAAAATTGCAATATCTTTTTGGAGCACTAAATGGAGAGCCTAAAGAAATGGCCAGACAATATCCCCTAGAGGGACAAAATTATAAAATTGTTTTAGAACTTTTGGAAAAAATTTTGGGGATAAATCAAATATAAAAAGTCCCTAGGGCGTCGAAGTACGTACCCGAAAGGCGTCGAAGTACGTACCCGAAATTCGACAAACATTAAGAAAAGTCGAAGCGATCATTAATCAATTAAATAATTTGGGGGAATATACAAATAATGAACAATTAATTTTGTAAATTGAATCAAAATTGCCGAAATGGCTCTTAACTGAAATTTATAAGAAAAAAAGAAATAATCTTGATTGGTCTGTCAAAAAAATGCTCGAATTTTTAGACAATTCGTTAAAATTGGAAGAAGACGTTTTTAGAGCCCATAAAAATTTTGAACAAGAAAAAACAGACAATCTTCCCAATTTTCGGCAAAATGTAAAATATAATAATAATTTTCAAAATAATAATAAGGGAAGAAAATTTCAAATGAATTATAATAATATTAGAAATAATTTTGGAAATAAAGGAACAGGAATGTTCGCTGTAACTGAGAAAAAATTTTTACATATTTGTAGATTTTGTGAAGAAAATCACTGGGAAAATAATTGCTCTAAATACAGTGTGCGGCAAATTTAGCGCCGACTTTGTTTTGGCTATAACTTTTTTAATTTTAAACGAAAATTGATAATTCTTTTTTTCCTGGATTCCCAACACTTTAGGAAAATTGTTGATACCAAAATCGTTTTTAAAATTTATAATTAAGTTTGATTAATTTTTTATCAAATTTCGAGCAAAAATTTTTGGATAAAATATGGCCTGGATTCAAGGCTATTATTTTAATTTATGAAGTTTATATATCATTCTTATCAGCTCTCCAATCTGATTCGAATGACGTCAAAATCAGGCGTCTATCACATAAATGGACCGAGATATGGCTCACTGAATGATAAATTAAACAAATTTTGGCAAATACGAATTTTTTGTGTGAAATTTTCAAAAATGAGATTATAAGCTATTTCGATACGCCTGAACGAGATAAGTCGATTGTTACCAAAATTATTCGGATTGGATGATTTTGAACAAAGTTATGATCAATTAAACATTGACATGAAAAATCCATTTTTACCCGTTTTTATGTTCGGACTCGTTTTTCATTGATATCCGCAAACAAAATGTTTATTATTTGGTACCAATAGATTTCCTAAAGTGTTAGGTGTAAAACAAAAAAAGAATTATCAATTTTCGATTAAAATTAAAAAAGTTATAGCCAAAACAAAGTCGGCGCTAAATTTGCCGCACCCTGTATATAAATCCTGAAAAAAGACTAGAAAGAGCAAAAGAACTCAAATTATGTTTTAAATGTTTAAAAAACAATCATAGGTCTGAAAAATGTGTAAAATTAAATTTATGCTTTCACTGCAAAGGCAGTCATAACACTGCTTTTTGTAGGACGAAGCCGCACACCGAGAACCCGTTGAAGAGAAAAAATGATGTTAAAGAAATAAAAGAAAAAAGAATTGGAATTAAAAATAATCAAAATAATAAAAATTCAAATATTTGTTTAGAAATTCAAGATGAAGATAATTTAAAAGATTCTAATGATATTTTAATAAATTATTTAACAAAAAATTCGCAAAATTCAATTTTTCCAACCTTTCTCCAAGTAACTCAAGCAAAAATAGTAAACCCAAAAATTCCAATTTTAATGCAAAATGCTATTTTTAGATTCCGGTGCAGAAATTTGTCTAATAAAAACCACTTTAGCCGAAAAATTAAAATTAGAGCCCATAGCAATAAATAATTTCAAAGCAACTTGTGTCTTTGGTCAAAGTATGGTTAGAAGAATGCCTATATTTGATTTTGAAATAAAGTGTATAAATAACGAATCAATAAAGGTCCGAGCAAGAGGAATCGATGAAAATTTTGTTGAAAAATTAAAAACTATTTTTGTTGAAAAAATAGGCTTAGATAGATTAAATGAAAATAGAATTCCCTATGAATTTGTAGAAGAAGTTACGCCAGAAATATTGATTGGTACAAGTGTTTACAATAAAATAATGGGATATGAAAGACTTCAAAATGGATTTTCTGTAATACAAACTAAACTAGGAAAAGTTCTTTCGGGTAGAGGCGTAATTAGTTTAAACGTAAATGAATCAAAAATCTTTTCAATGGAAAATGTAGAAAAATTTATGGAGCTAGAATCGTTTGGTATTACCGATAACCCCTTAAACGAGGATGATAAAAACGATTTAGAATTATTTAAAAAATCAGTAACCCGAACACCAGAAGGAAGATACGAAATAGAATTCCCTTTCAAAGAAAAGAAAATAAATATATCAAGTAATTTCGCGCCTTGCATTAAACGATTACAAAGTTCTTGGGCCAAGGGGAACAAAGAAGACGTATTGGAAAAAATGAAAGTAAGTTTCTTAGAACAAGCAAAAAATAATCAAATAGAAAATTGCGAAAGAAATGATTCTACTTTATGTCATTATATTCCCTGGCACTACGTTTATCACCCACAAAAGAAAAAAATGCGAATCGTCTTTGCGGCTAATTGTAAAACAGCGGAAGAAAAAATAAGTTTAAATGATATAATATACCGTATTTCCTATATTAGAGCCTCACCCTTTGTTAGAGCCCCACCCTCTAATACAGCCCCACTTTGGAGGATAGTTGAAAAATAGAGCCCCACCCTCAATTAGAGCCCCACCCCTAATACAGCCCCACGTAAAAATATTGGAGAAAAAATAAGTTTTTTTTAAATTTTTTTCCCTTCAGTGAATTGAGTGAAGTGAACAAAGGGGGTATCGATGTTTAAAAGAAAGATTAGGGGGATATAAGGATTGATGGATATCGTGGTATTCGGCCGACTCGAAAACCCCAACCCTAATTTCCACGATATCTATCCAAATACTTTAATATCACATATTCCAAAAAAAATCCCTTGATATCACTTCCAATACCCCAAATCCACAATGCCTCTCTTGCTAATCTAATTCTCTGATATATCGCCTTAATCCTGCTATATTTCACATGATCTCTTAAAGTCCGCTTATAGGTATGCCTCGATAATATCAACTGTTACCCTTCTAGATCCATCGATGACAAATACAAGTCCTTGAAATTCCTTTTTAATCATAGCAAGTCCAAATATCCCATTTGAAAACCCTAAAAATATCGGCCATTTTTCGATATTTTTTTATTTATCGAAAAAATCTCTCAAAACCTCCGACCGACGTTTAGCTGCAATAGATATTAATAAATGGAATTTCATCTCAAAAGAGGGTTGAAAAATAGAGCCCCACCCTCAATTAGAGCCCCACCCTTTAATACACCCCCACCTTAGAGGATAGTTGAAAAATAGAGCCCCATGGGGCTCTAATATAGGAAATACGGTATAGAGGTCCTGTCTTGCTTCCGGATTTGTGCGGACTCCTAATACGAATTAGAACGTTTCCAATTTTGACATCAGCGGATGTTAAATCTGCTTTTCACCAGATAGGATTGAAAGAAAATCAACGCGATTTAATGCGTTTCCTACTGCCTAAAAATTGGAATCTTCCTCCTACTAACCTAAATTTGGCTTACTGGCGTTGGACTAAAATGCCATTTGGAATTTCTGCAGCACCTTTTTGCCTTGCAGCAGTAATAAATTTACATTTAGAAAAGACTGCCGGAGAATTTGGAAGAGAATTAAGAAGAGGAATTTAAACCGATAATATTTTCTTCTCTGCAACCACAACTGAAGAAGGGTTGAATAAATGTAAAAAAGTAATAGAAATCTTTAAAGAAGCTCAAATGCCGCTACAAGAATTTATTTCAAATTCCGAAACAATCAATAAAAATTTTGGAGATAAAGCGTTAGAAAATAATACAAAAATATTAGGAGTTGGTTGGGATGTTAAAAAGGATGCATTGATTGTTGAAATGAAAAAAAATTAAGACGCCAGAAAAATGGACAAAACGATCGATTCTAAAAGAAATCGCAAAACTTTTTGACCCAATGGGTGTTCTTCTCCCAGCAAATTTATGTAGAAAATTATTATTACAGAAACTATGGGTAGATAAAGAAAAGACTTGGGATGACGAAATATCGATTGAACATATAAAAGAAATTGAAAAAATAAAAGACGATTACGGTACTTTAAAATTTAGAAGACAGCTTTTAAAAGAAAAGGGTCCGAGTGAACTGCACATTTTTGTAGATGCTTCACAAAACGCCTTCGCCGCAGTCGCTTATATAAGAGTTGAATATGATTTAAATAAAATTTTTTCCTCAATTATTATGGCCAAGGGGAGATTGGCCCCGTTAAAATCTCGTCTTACAATTCCAAAAATGGAATTGATGGCCGCAATTGCAGGTAAACGATTGAGTGATTTCATACAAAAGGAGTCAGACATTGAATTAGAAAAAATATTTATTTGGTCTGATAGTAAGTTAGTGCTAAATTGGATACTAATAAGCGACAAAGAAAAACAGCCACGGTTTATAAAGAGAAGAATAGAAGAAGTAACTCAAAATAAAAATTTGATTTGGAAATATGTTCCCACTGAATTAAATATAGCTGATATCGCAACTAGGGGTTTAACTTGTAATGAATTGACAGAAAAGAAAAGTTGGTGGCAAGGTCCAACATTCCTTCGAAAAAATAAAAACGAATGGCCGAAAGCAATAGAATTTGAAAAAATAGCTAGCCCCAAAGAGACAAAAATAGAATTTATAATGAATGTCACGACAGAAAAAATAATGAATTTAAATGCGCGAAGTGAGTGGAATAAAACAATTACAATTGGAACAATAATTTGCAAATTCTTTTAGAAAATAATTAAAAATATTAATTTAAAAACTCAATTTTTCATTGCACTAAAAAATACTAAAACAAACGTAGGTCTTCGAAAATTCGGTGAAATATTAATTCTAAAAGAAGCTCAAAACCAAAATAAACCTACAGAAAAAGAAATCTTTGAGTTATATATGAGAAAAAATGAATTTGGAATCTGGGTCTGTCCAGGACGCGTTGAGTCTTCAGGAATTCCAACACCAGTTTATGTCTCATATGATTCTCCTGTTTCCGAAAAAATTTGTTTAGAATATCATAAACGCGCAATGCATAGTGGACTACGACAAAGTTTATGTGAATTAAGTCAATGCTTTTGGCACAGCAACTTAAAATAGGCAAAGGCTGCAACCAGATCTTTAGAGTCTTAGTTAGAGTCTTAGCCCGTTTTGAAGCGAAGGCATGTATCTCGGTCCAATGTCATTTCTATGACTTTATAGTGATACCATTCGACTCAGCTCGCCGAGCCGAATCGAATGATATATAAATCGAAGACTTTGGAACTGTATACTGGCTAAAATAATTCTAAAAGCGCTTAATACAAAATGGATGATTATAAAGCGAAATACTGGTTTATTTGAGGGGTTATTTTTTTAAAAGTATCTTTAGGGTATTATCTTTGTTTTTGCCAGACAGAATTTTAAAGATCCAACGTTTTGTCGAGAAAAAGCTTCTCAAAGTTGGCAGCTCAAAAATGACAATATCCTTATAAAAATAGCACGCGAAAAAAATAGAGTAAAAAGAAAAGGAGAAAAATTCAGTATGCACTGAAACGGCTCTTGGTTGCAGGTTAAGTTGCTGTGTTTGGGTAACAAAAGGAAGACAAAAAATGAAAAGTACGATTAATAAATGTTTTCAATGCCGAAAACAATTATTAAAACCTTTTGAAATACCAAAAATGCCAATATTACCCGAAGAAAGAATAAAAAGATGTTCGCCCTTTAAAAATTCAGGGTTGGATTATGCAGGCCCGTTTCAAGTAAAAACACAAGAAAATAAAATAATTAAAATATGGATAGAAATATTTACATGCTTAACAACAAGATTTTCGCATTTAGAGCTAATTACTGACCTTTCCGCAAATACATGTGTTCAAGCTCTAAGGCGGTTTATAGCGGAATATGGAAAACCGGCATTGATTTTAAGCGACAATGGAACCCAATATAGATTGACTAGTAAAGTAATAAATGAAATTGAAAAGAATTTGGATTGTGAAAAAATTGAATGGCGATTCATACCCGCTGTTTCTCCCTGGTTCGGTGGCGTGTATGAATCAATAGTAAAAATTATGAAAAAGGCTCTTAAAAATTCTGTTGGCCGAAAAATGTTAAATATAGAAGAGCTCAGAACACTATTGCCAGAAATAAAATACGTAATCAATTCTCGTCCCCTTACTTATTTGTATAATGATTTGGAAGAAATTGAAGTATTGCGTCCAATAGATTTAGTTCACCCAACAAGGATTAAACAAGGGATTAATTTTGAAGATTTTGAGACAGATAATTATGATGAAAAGGTTTCCCAAAAAATAACAATAATTAATAATTGGAAAGAAACAAATAAAATAGTAAATACATTTTGGGAAAAATTTGAAAAGGAATATTTAAATGATATTAAAGAAAGAACAAATAGGCACGCGCAAAAACAATACAGAAAAAATTATTCACCAAAAGTTAGAGAACTAGTGCTTATTCAAAATTCAAATCTCCCAAAACATTTTTGGAGTTTAGGCAAAATACAATATTTAATCAAGAGCCGAGATGGATTGTATCGGTCCGCGAAAGTTTTGTGTAAAAATAAAATCATTACTCGCGCCGTCGCTCTTTTATATCCCTTAGAACTGGCAATAGAAGATGAAGAGAAAAATAAAGAATTGGAAATAAATAATAGTATTGACTCGCATCTAAAGGGAAAAACCCATCCAATGACCCTCAGAGAAAGAAAGAGAATAAATTACGATGAAATAGATAATGCAGACATAAATTTTCTGATCAATAATGAAAATAATTCACGACTGTGATTTTCAAACAGGTTCAAGTCATGACTGGCAACCCAGGGAAAAATCGTTCGACAAAATATTTAAAAACAGGATAGGCAACCAAGAGATAAATCTTCTGATTATAAATATAAAACTTTAGAAGATGAAAATAAAATTCTGAAGAGAGAAATAAAAATTAGCAAAGATGAAATTTCTAGACTTAAAATCGATAATAATGCGAATGAAAATTTGATTAATAATAATAAAGTAGAAATCTCACACTTACAAAATGAATTAAAAGAAACAAAATTAATTTTAAATAATGTAAATAAAAAAATAACCGAGCTTGAAAAAACTCGTAATGAAGAAATTCAAACATTAAAAACACAAAATGAAAGGTTAAATAATGACTTTAAAAGAATGAGAGCAGATTTGTATTCAAAAGATATTTTGGACGAAGGCGTTACTAAAAAAAGACAAAAAATTGTTAAAAATAAATCGATTGGGAATAATAAAAACAAAAATAAAGGTGCAGCAATCCTTAAACCTAATACACTTTCTGCCTCTATTACACTCACAATACTGATCCTTTTCTCTCTGTGTCTAAACCTTGCTGCAAGTCCGTGTAAATCACACGAGGAAACAAAAAGAATACAAATTGACGACGAATGTATCGTTAACGTTTTTCTATACACAAGCGTGCGGGCGGCACTTTTTGTTGGAAAAGAAACAAGTGCGGAAAAGGAAATTGCAACCCGGCGTGTGTCTGTCCCGACTGGGCAATAGAATGTTCGTTTTACAAAGGGTTAGAGATAAAAAGATCAAAAGCCAACGACCCATCTGTAAAAAATATTATAGAACATAATAGACCAAAAATAAATTCATTTGAGTATAACCAAAATTGTAAAAACTTTTCGGAAATTAAAAAATTTAAACAAATCGAGTTATACGATGGTACAAAACATTTAGTCAATGAATTAAAGATAGAAATGAAAGAAAACTTAAATGACGAATTTATCTGTTTTGGGGTTGGGGAAACAACTGGATCACCTCTATACTGTTTTAAACACGCATGTTCTGAAAATGGGAAAAAATTTTGTTTTTATTCGAAAAATGAAGTGGCATATTTTGTTTCAAATCACGGTAAAGTCGTCATTAAAGCGTGGGGTGAAATTTCAAAAAGAGTATACGATTTTAAAAACGAAAATGAAAAAGGATGTAAGGAATGCGAGATAGAGTGCGCCAAAGAAGGACTATCAATAAAAATAAATAAAGAAATAAACGGAATAGAAATTTGTTTGAAAAAATGCATTTATATACCTTTCCCCGACACTACACAAGAAATTACATTACCTAAGGAAGACTTAATAAATGGGTTTGAAGCAACAATTAAATTCTTTAATAACGGTCAAAATATAAAAGAAAAAGGGATTAAATGCCAACCATTAGATATGTGTGGACTAATAAAATGTAACTTATGTATTGAACGATTAACCAACCCTAAATGCAACCCCGAACTAGCTATGATTATAGTAGCCCTTGCAGTGTACTTATTTTCTAATATAATTTACTTTGTTGGCAGAATTACAATCGCAATAATTTCCATTTTTATTTGGATATTAAAAAGAAAATGGTCCTTAATTAGATTTCTTATAAAATGTTGTAAAAAGCCAAAAACAGAAAATAAGGAAAAAATAGTAGAAAAAATTAAACTTCTAAAAAATAATAGAAAAAATCGATTGCCAATGAAAGTCACAATTGCAATAATCATTTTTGTTAGCTCACTACAAAGAGCTCTGTGTCTTACAACTATCACAGCCGATGAAGAAAAATGCATACTAGACAAAACAGGGGTTAGAAACTGCCTCTTTGAAAAAACTCTTGAGATAAGTTTTAATCCAACGGACCAAGAAATAGATATAATATTGCAAGACTACCAAGACAACTTTGTAGGATCCATGAAATTTATTTTACACCGCTTAAAAGCATCCTGTGTTAAAACAATAAAATACTTTTCACGCTCCTACGATATACAAGTAATTTCGGGGTGGAGGTGTGCTCATACAGGAAGCTGTGTTAATCAAAAATGTAGTTCCATTAAAATGAATGATACAATTATTGAATTAAACATGGAAAATCAAAAATTCCCAGGTATCACAAGGTGTATGGAAACTGAAGGCGGTTGGGCAAATGGTTGTTTTTATGTCGACCCTGCCTGTTTATTTTATCGCTTTTCTGCCGTACCAACGAATGACCATAAAATACTTGAAATTTTTAGATGTCCGAAATGGGATCTTGAATTGGATGTAAAAATTATAATTGAAACCCAAAATGATAAACAAGAAAAATTAATTTCGTTAAAACCCGGATTCACTACGGAATGGAATGATCTACGAATCACCGCTACAAGCATGACAGTAGCTCCTCTTCCTATACTCAATCAACTTTTCGTGTCGGATGAAAATAGAGTAGCAATTCTTGAATCGGAAAGCGAAGATAAATTGAGAAGTTTTAAATGTTCTTCAAAAGCGGCAGCCATTAAATTTAATGAATGTAAATTAGACCCACTATCGTGTGACTGTAATTCGGCCGATCATAATGTAGCTTGTCTGTGTTATGAATTGTTAGAAACGAGACAACTTTTTAAAAGAGATTTAACATTGCCATTTGAGCATAACGGTATACTACTTGACGTGGACCACGGCACAATTAAAGTCTCGCCTGATCTTTCCGCCGCTCAAATCCAAACACAAATTAAAGGATTAACACTCAAAACAGAAATTCTCGCAAATAAATGTAAAGTAACAAATGTTAAATTAATCGGATGCTACAAATGTAATCGCGGCGCAAAGCTAGAGCTAACTTGTAAAACTGATTTTGGAAACTCCTTAGGAAATATTGTTTGTCCTTCTCTTACTACATTTACGACCTGTGTGCCTAAAGGAGAAACTTGAAATCTTTCAGTACATTTAAGCCATTCACAAATTGAAGAAACATGCGAAATTTTTTGTGGATCTTCGTACTCAAAATTTGAACTTAAAGGGATATTAAATCACCCAGAAGAAATAATAGAAACAAAATGGCACAGAAACATAGCACTAAAATGCAAAGTTTAATGGATATTGATTTAAATCATTTACTTAAATTTTTATTTTTTCCACGCTATCTTCTAATTTTATTATTAGCGTTGTTT